CCACCTTCTGTATCTGCTGAGCCAATTCTCGAGTGGGTGCTAGGACCAAGGCCTGGGTGGCCTTTAGATCTAATTCAATCTGCTGCAGAATCGATATGGCAAATGTGGCTGTTTTCCCAGTCCCAGATTGGGCTTGAGCGATCACGTCATAACCCTTGATACAAGGTAGAATGGCTTGCTGCTGGATGGCAGAAGGCTGCTCAAAACCATAGGCGTAGATGCCACGGAGAAGGGACTCCGAGAGGTTCATGTCATCAAAGCTGTCAACAATCTCATTCCAGTTACTCTCGATGACGCCTTCGGGCTCCATCTCATCAGGGCCATTGTCTCTGGATCGGGAATCCTGACTCGCAGACATGATCCTTAGAAACTCAAAAAAAAGATTTCAACATAGGGAAACCATGTGATAACTGTCATTAATTTTTATTAAATTTGGAAAATTCCAATAGGAGCTATGGAAAACTTGAAAAAATTATGCTACATATTTCTTACTATTATTTTATTTATTTATTTATTTATTTATTTATTGAGAGAAGATCTTGTTTTGTTACCCAGGCTGGAATGCAATGGCACGATCTTGGCTCACTGCAACCTCCATCCTCCCTGGCTCAAACCATCCCCCACCTCAGCCTCCTACTGAGCAGCTGGGATTACAGGCATGTGCCATCATGCCAGCTAATTTTTGTATTTTTGGTAGAGATTGTTTTGTGCCATGTTGCACAGGCTGGCCTCAAACTCCTGGCCTCAAGCAGTCCATCCACCTTGGCCTCCCAAAGTCCTGGGATTACAGGCATGAGCCACTGCATCCAGCCTGGGATACTTTTTAATATCTATTCTACCTAAAACGAGTCAAAATGAGACCCTACAGAGCCTTTGAGACATCTGCTTTGACAAACAGACTTAAAAAAATTGTGGCTCAAGCCTGTAATCCCAGTACTTTTGGAGGCCGAGGCTGGTAGATCACATAACGTCAGGGGTTCGAAACCAGCCTGGCCAACATGGTGAAAACCTATCCCTATTAAAAATACAAAATTAGCCTGGGCATGGTGGTGCATGCCTGTAATCCCAGCTACTTGGGAGGCTGAGGCAGAAGAATCTCTTGAACCTGGGAGGCGGAGGTTGCAGTGAGCCAAGTTTGTGCCTCAGCACTCCAGCCTGGGCAACAAGAGTAAAATAACTTTCTAAAAATTATTACTTACCTGACAACAATTTGTAACAGCAGTCATAAGTAAATGCAGCACATCTAAAGAGACATAATTTCTAAGAGTATAAAAATCAAGAAAATATAAATTAAATGTCTAGGGAAATCTTAATTCACATCTAACAAAAACCTGATAGAAACTTGAACCATTAGAAGGGCATTGGTGAAAAATTTACCAGTGTTTGTTATATTTTAGTTACAAATCAATTCCCATGCACCAAATGATTTTTTTAAAAATCTGCTTTCAGCATGTCAACATCAATTTTGTGTTTGTGCCACATCTATGTTGGATAAAAATTAAGAAATTCTGGCCAGGCACAGTGGCTCATGCCTATAATCCTAGCACTTCGGGAGGCCAAGGCGGGTGGGTCACTTGAGGTCAGCGTTCAAGGCCAGCCTGGCCAACCTGGTGACACTCCGTCTCTACTAAAAATACAAAAATTAGCTGGGTGCAGTGATGGGCACCTGAAATCCCAGCTACTTGGGAGGCTGAGGTAGGAGAATTGCTGGAACCTGGGAGGCAGAGGCTGCAGTGAGCTGGGATCGTGCCACTGCACTCCAGCCTGGATGACAAAGTGAGACTTTTTCTCAAAAAAAAAAAAAAAAATTAAAGAATTTGTACCTGTATTATAGTATCTCTTCCTATTATGAAAAGGGTGTACAATGTTCTTCTAAATTCTAGTTAGTAAAACTTGCAGTAAGAAAAAGAGCTGTATAATTCAAACAAAACAAAACAAAAAGTATTAATTAACCTATCACTAGAAGTGTATAAATGGGACAGGTATAGTGGCTCACACCTGTAATTCCAGCACTTTGGGAGGCTGAGGCAGGAAGATCCCCTGAGGCCAGGAGTTCAAGACTAGCCTGAGCAACAACAACAAAAAAAAATTAGCCAGGCATAACTATAGTCTTGCACTTCAGCAAGGATCTCTTGAGCCCAGGTTTGAGTCTGCAGTGAGCCAAGATCAAAGATCGCCCCACTGTACTCTAGCATGGGCAACAGAGCAAGACCCTGTCTCTTAAAAAGTTTTTTTTTTTTCCTTTATTTTATTTTATTTTTTTAAGATGGGGTTTCACAATGATGGCCAGGCTGGTCTTGAACTATTGACCTCAGGTGATCCACCCACCTCGGTCTCCCAAAGTGCTAGGATTATAGATGTGAGCCACTGCACCCAGCCTTAAAAAGTTTTTTTTAAATAAAAATTAATTAACTTAGAAAGTATATAAACGCATCACATGATCACATGATGCTTAATGTACTAAAAAAACAAAATATATTTTTCTAAATTTATCAGGCTTTGACCTGCATGTCAAATGAAAAAAAAAAAAAGAAATTAAATTTATCAGGCTTTAGAAATAATTTTGTAACTACTAAGATACTAGGAACAAGGACTTATGCAAGAGAATACAAAATAACTACGTTTGAAGTTTAAAAAAGAGGCTACTTTGAAAATATGAATGTTGCTGGGTATGGTGGCTCACGCCTGTAATCCCAGCACTTTGGGAGGCTGAGGTGCACGGATCACGAGGTCAAGAGTTTGAGACCAGCCTGACCAACATGGTGAAATCCCATCTCCATTAAAAATACAAAAATTAGGCTGGGTGCGGTGGTTCATACCTATAATCCCAGCACATTGGGAAGGTGATGTGGGAGGATCACAGGGTCTAGATACTGGGGCCATCCTGGCCAACGTGGTGAAACCCCATCTATACTAAAAATACAAAAAATTAGCCAGGCATGGTGGCACATGCCTATAGTCCCCGCTATTTGGGAGGCTGAGGCAGGAGAATCACTTGAACTCAGGAGACGGAGGTTGCAATGAGCTGGGATCACACCACTGCACTCCAGCCTGGCAACAGAATGAGATTCCGTTTCAAAAAAAAAATGTTACAGGAGACCACAAAGATTTAAAACATTGGAAAATAACCAAATAAGACTTCTGGAAGTAAAAAGTATAATCATTTTAATTTGAAGATTGTACGGATATATTAAAAAGCAGCTTAGACACAATTGGAGAATGAGCGAGCTTAAATCTAAAGAAATCATCAAAAAGACAGCATATAGGAAGTAATACTGGGTAAATGCAAAGGAGAGTTTAAAGACACAGATAATAAAATGAGAAGGTCTAACATGTTTATTTGGAGTCCAAGATGATTGTGATTTAGAGAATGGGGAAGAGGCAATATTTGAAGAAATAATGTCTGAGAATGTAATAGAATTCTTGAAAAATACCAATCCAAGTGGGCTTGCAAATCTCAAGAAGAAAAAATAAAAATAATTTCTAAAGGTACATACATACAGTAAGATAGAAGAATAAATTCAATGTTTGATAGCAGAGTAGGATGGCTGGAGTTAACAAAACTATATTGTACTCGGGTGATGAACACCCTGAATACCCTGACTTGATCAGTATGCATTACATACATGAACCCCACAAATTTATGCAAATTAAAAAAAAGCTTGCACAGAAAAAAAAAAGAATTTCTTACCTACACATTCATAATATAACTGCAGCACACTATCAAACAAAGACCTTAAAAATTGCCAATGAAAAAAGACAGATAATTACAAACAAACAGCAATCAGACTGGTGAGTGACTTTTCAAGAGTAACAGAAGATGGAAAAGAGCTAGAATATATGTAATGTATTAAAAAATGCATATCATCTTTCATTGATTTTAGGAGGCACAAATTTTCACATTTTTACATCTCTGCAATTAGGGTATATCTTAAAGCTGATGTCACTCCAGATTGTGAATAGCTTAGTTGAAAATATAATTTTATGCGTTGAAACAGAACCATTTTCTGTGTGCAAAAACAAAAACAACAACAACAAAAAAGAAAAACAAAAAATATAATTTAAAATTTAATAATGGTACATAAAATTACTATTGTGATTGAAAACACTTGTGTTTCTTGGCTGGGCGAGATGACTTATATCTGTAGTTCCAGCACTTCGGAAGGCCAAAGTGGGCAGATCACTTGAGGCCAGGAGTTCAAGACCACCCTGGTCAATATGGTGAAACCCCCATCTCTACTAAAATACAAAAATTAGCTGGACATGATGGCACATGCTTGTAATCTCAGCTATTCAGGAGGCTAAGGCATGAGAATCACTTGAACCAGGAAGGCAGAGGCTGCGTGAGCCCAGATTGTGCTGCTGCACTCTAGTCTTGGCAACAGAGGCTCTATTTCCAAAAAAAAAGAGAGAGAGAAAAGAAAAACACCTTTTCTTTTTTTTTTTGAGATGAACTCTCACTCTGTCACCCAGGCTGGAGTGGAATGGCACAATCTCTGCTCACTGCAACCTCTGCCTCTCAGGTTCAAGCAATTCTCCTGCCTCAACCTACCGAGTAGCTGGGATTACAGGCATCTACCACAACATCCAGCAATTTTTTGTGTTTTTAGAAGAGATGAGGTTTCACCATGTTGGTCAGGCTGGTCTCGAACTCCTGACCTCATGATCCGCCCACCTCAGCCTCCTAAAGAGCTGGGATTACAGGCGTGAGCTACTGCACTCAGACTTGTGTTTCTTAAACCAAGGAAATATGTTGTCAACTAGAATTTTATACCGAATGAAATTATATTTTAAGAGTGGAATAAAGATATTTTAGGCAAACATTGAGTTTATCACAAATAGGCTCTCACTTTAAAAAAATTCTAGGACAGGCTGGGCACGGTGGCTCACACCTATAATCCCAGCAATTTGGGAAACTGAGGCGGGCAGATCTCCTGAGGTCAGGAATTCGAGACCAGCCTAGCCAACAAGGCCAAACCCCATCTCTACTAAAAATACAAAAACTAGTCAGGCATGGTGGTGTGCACCTGTAATCCTAGGGCGTTTGATTTTTTTCTTGAGATGGAGTCTTGTTCTGTTACCCAGGCTGGAGTGCAGTGGCATGATCTTGGCTCACTGCAACCTCTGCCTCCTGGGTTCAAGCAATTCTCCTGCCTTGGCCTTCCAAGTAGCTGGGATTATAGGCATGTGCCACCACTCCCAGCTAATTTTTATGTTTTCAGTAGAGATGGGGTTTTGCCATGTTGGCCAGGCTGGTCTCTAACTCCTGGCCTCAGGTGATGCACCCTCCGCGGCCTAGGATTACAAGCGTGAGCTACTGTGCCCAGCCCAATTCACTTTTAAAATCATAGAATATAAGAAGGTTATTAGATA